GACTAGAAGGAGCACTTGGGTGCCCGTCAGTGTTGAGAGTTCATATGCCTACGAAAATTGGTCAATATTGAGATGGTGAACGGGTGTTGCTCCCACACTCACCTTCTTCATGATACCAGCCTTCCGCTTGCTGAAGGTGATATGCCTCCGGCTCTTGTCCTGGATAAACTCGATCTTGATCTTTCTTCTGCCAGCTTTGGCACCTCCAGTCTTTTCGCCTGTGCCAGCTGGCTTGCCTGTAAAATAATTTCCCAAAAAAGTTCAAGGTTCTGGTCGGTGCATCGCTCAAACAAACTGTCTCACCGTCATCATCATCGTCATCTTCACCATCACCGGCCTCGTGTTGAATCTGGAATCCTCCGCCCATGTCTTGGGGACCGGCGGGAGGTGGTGCTGTTTGAGGATCCAAGCCTCCAACCATACCTCCCATATGATGTGGGTGATGGCCGGGGTGCACCTGCTGGGGCGGAGGCTGATGATGAGGATGGGGATTGGGGTCATAGTAAGAGGGATGGTGTTGGGGATGATGCTGCTGCAAATGAGGAGAGTTGCCAGCACCAGCTAAATGGGGAGAATGAAGGGATTGGGGCTGCGAACCTTCCATGAGCGGGAGGTCATGGAGATCAGAAGGTCTTTGCCGCTTGCGATTCTGAGAGGTAGGAGTTGGGGGTTGAGGAGGACCGGTGGACATTGCGCTGACGATATGGTCAGAATAATTCATCATCGCGACGTTCGGGGTCGGGGGGAAATCCGCATGAAGATGAGGGACAAGAGGGGGATAATAAGGACGCGTCAGTGGCAATGTTTTGTCCAAACTGGCGAGCCAGAAGAACGCGTGCTTACAGGGGAAGTGCTGGAGCACAAGTGTCAAAGAGATCCCTTTGGAAGCGACGGGGAAGGTATGCTTTGATAAGCGCCCAAAGAGGTAAGAAGCGAGGAGGGGGGTGAGTGAAGAGCCTGGAGGGAAAACTGTGAAGAGAGACCGGACGAAGATGGAAAGTTGGGAAGAATATAAGAGAGGGAAAGAGGGTCCAGTGCATTTGTTGTGATGTGTTGATGGTGGGCGATCGAAGCCAATCGGCGGGTGAGTGCAGAGGGGAGCCAAAGGTACGATCGGATGAATAGAAAATACGAAAAAGAAAGCGAAGGGTCAGATTCATGAGGAGGGGAAAAGGGTGCAATCATTAGATTTGCGTCGGGCGATGAACTCACCGTCAACGATGTGCACTCAGTCTAAACTCAAACGCTGTACTGCGAGGATGTCGTCAGCGACAGTCTACGCGACGTCCAAAAGAGGAAGGGAGGCGTGTGGTTTTGGTTGCCCTCTTTTGGTTGTCTAGGGCACACGCAGCACTTTTGCATCCGCTGCTCACCCGCCAGACCCAATTAAAACGTAGCAACTCACCTGTCGCACAGAGAGTCGTCCAAGACGGGATGCGATGTGAAACCACAGGTGGTCAAAAGAAGGATAGCCGGGTCCGAGAAAACTGCTTTTGTCACTTACCACGTAAACCCGTAGATCCCCGTACACACGAGCACGTGACGTAAACAAAATAATGAGACACTTTGGTTGTAGTTGCAGTTGTCTTGGACAGACAAGTGGCAATCCTTGAGGGCAATCCTTTGAGCCTCTTAAACGACGTTGCAGATAACCGGAATCGGAACCATCCCTCCCTGACGAGCTCGCACCGCACAACGCCATCGATCCCCTTCTTCATCGCCCCAAGCTACAACCTCTAAAATACCATGAATAGCTAATGGTCTCTCCTAATACACCATCCAGCTTTTTCCGCAGCCGTTGCATCAAAATCCAACTTGAAACCCACAAAGGGACATCGGTGGTGCGAACCCATGTTCCTGTATGGAACTCTCCGACACAACGACGTCATATCACATCTCCCCTTTTCTCTCCTCCGAGGGTTCGGATTTTTCACAGTCGTAATATTGGTAAATTCCCCGTCATCTCACCCATTCGAATCAAACCTTCCTTGTCAACTCACATTTCATTCCACACCTTATCTCGATGAGAATTATCATCAATCGGACTCGGATCGGTGCAGTGCGGCTTCCGTCTCCCTTGTGCAAGTCCCCTTTGCCGCTCTTACCGTGCCTTTACGTCCTGCCAAAGTGCAACTTTGTCGTTCTCTTCCCCTACTTCTGGAGCAAGGGGCCGGATGCGCCGGATCATTCCCTTTTTCCGGTTACTCGTACACTTTGAAATTCGCCACAGTCCCCAATCTTGAACCAAAGTCAATCCTCGGCGTGCCAGAACCTCGTTGACGTATTGCTTTGTTCCGCTCCCGTCACGAATCCGATGTGCATCACATTTTAACCCTTTACAAGCTAGAAGCTGTCTTGTGAAAACCAGTCGAGTGGAGAAAGCCAAACGATGCGCTGATACTGAGGGGCTTCAAAGGATAAGCTCAAACACAGAAGCCACCTCCGCCGATACGTCGACGATTACGATCATGTTCTACTCCTCAAATCTACAATATTCAAGTCTCTTCAAATCCTCACTGAGACCGATAGGCAGGTTCGGAAACTCTCCGCGCGAAACAATGTCGTCAGACGACCCATAGATTGTCTCCAAAGTTTATGGCAGTACCGTGACTTGTCACTCGTAATTGATCATTTACCGGCCAATTTTTAGGCGTCTTTCGCTTTCTGGAAAGTAACAAGCGCCTAAACACCATCCGGTTTAGGGGGTGCTCTTTCCCTCGTTCCCGCATCCTTTTCTTCCTGCTTCTCTCGCATGTCATGACCTGAAAACGCTCATGGACGGCGTTTCTTGTTCGACGAACGTGGCGACGTTTGCATGTGCTATATCCAATCTTGTGGTAGAAGGTTAGCGTTCTTATTACTTTGTACCCTTACTAAAATGTCAAAAATTGTCCTTCACGCTAATAGACACTCGGCTGCACATCAAAAAGCCTTCAGGAGGTGAATTCAAGGGCGCAGGCGTTTGCATGAGACACACTATTTTTTTTTTCTCCAGGTGTGGACTTATCTCAGATCTCGCGATCAAAATCTCTCCCATAGCTATCTATGATTCGGAATTTGCCAACCTCCCGTTTATGATATCCCAAATGGGGGGAACCTGGCGTACCGCAAGGTCATCTTGAGGCGTTCTGTCAATACTTGTGGAACGTATGTCTCCCCCAAGACCCAAAAACTTACATTTTTAACACACAGAGTAAACTCATGAAAGGGGATCGGGGGTAAGCTGAGTTGCCGCAGATCTCCAAGCTTGCGGCTTTGGCACACACACCCGGTGGAATGTGCTGAGAGCTCCCAACCACTCAGTGGAATACTTTGATGCCGAAGGCGGTAACAATTGTGCAATTCAATTTGATCAAACTTGCAAATTCCCGGACCTGGTATCACCGCTGTCGCTTGGTTCCCTTCTGGACCCATCAAACTCTCTCTACGTCGCATCGTTCACATGCGGCACGGCGAGGCACGCCCCACAGCTCCTCATTACTGCGGCAGGGATCAGAGAGAATATGAAGGCCGTGGGCAAACCTACATTCCTCAAGATAGGTACGCAGGAGATCTCGGAGGAATAAATCCTTCCCTAGACTTGTCGCACCTTCTACTTCCTGTTCCTATCGGAAAGTGTACTAGGTATGAACACCCGTAGAGATTGCAACCACTAGAGAGAAGCTCTACCTAGAAGAGCAGTGATCGTCCGGGAGTTGCCAGAGAGATGGCTCAAATTGGCTTGGGCTGTAGGTGGGACTCTGCTCAAGAGCCCATATTGCACCCTCGTCACCGCCTCCTGACCAAAAGTGGAGCTCTATCCAAGATTCGCAAGCCGATCCAACGTAAGTTGACGAATTCTCAACTTCTTTTTGAGACATATCAACTCCTCGCCCCATCCTCGCGCCTTTCACAATTGTCGAACGCCCCTAGACTCCTAGTAATACCTGGTACAAATTCTTCCGCTTCAACACCGTTCACTTGCTGACAAATTGGTCTAACCTTTTATCCGTAGTTCTAGAACTGGATTGTTAACTCCATTCGTGCCTTGGCACAGTCTTGGTCGCATTTGGAAATGCACGACTAATTGGCCTTTGTTAGATTTCATTCATAGGTTCGGAAACACCCATATCTACCATCTCGACTCTCACTTATTTCTCTTCCTCCCCACAAATGCCAGATGCCGACGTCCTTTGTGTCGAACAGCATGTCGCGAGATGAATCTTCGCCAAACGAATTACATTCCGAGTACATTGAGTGCACGATAGTTCAACTCTACTTCCAATCTGTCAATCTTCGGCAAACCTTGAATCTAAACGTATCCCAGTACAATGGAGTTCCTAATTCTTGGTGCAGGGTATTGCAGATGGAGCAGTTGCAGCCCGACATGACGCAGATTGTAGATCTCCGAGTCACGGCGTCGAATTGTTGGTTCGTGAATGCCCTCGATCACTTCAACCTCGATGAATCATTGTCAATGAAGACGTCCTCAGAACTAATGGGAATAGCGACTCATTCCAGTTGAGAATCTCGAGCCGACGGCCAAGTTGACCCTGGCTTCAATACCGGGTAAACTCTAGAAATTGGGGATTGAGTACTTTTGTCCAGAGATGGTGCAAGGACTCATTGTACCTCAAGGCTTTCGCGTCTTTTCAATACTAGAGGAGATATGCAATACCTATTTGGGTCGATCTGGGTCTCCAAGTGAACATCTGTCAGGAGTGCTCAACCTTCATTCCGTTTCTGACCGCGAAGGTGAGCCACAACCATCAGAAACACTCCTAATTGCGTAAACGCAACTGATTTGATCAGTCAGGAGGCTAGAGAGTGTCGTCTACTTCTGATTCTGGTACGTACTGGTGATGGTCGATGTCTCATGGAGGGGTGTATGGATCAACGTTGCACATCAGGATTGCTCGCTTTCACTGGAATATGACAGTCAATCAACAGCCCCAAGGCGTCTCAAGTGGTCTGGAAGAGACAACAAACGATGGTTCTTCAATGTCGTCCCAATTCTGGACGGCGAGATGGCCGAGCGGTCTAAGGCGCCAGATTAAGGCCCAACCAAAGTGAGGATTTGAACTCACGTTCTGGTCCGATAAGGGCGTGGGTTCGAATCCCACTCTCGTCATCGTTTTGTAGCTCTTACGACGTGTTTTGGGTATCTGGAAGTTGTTGGGAGGTTCTCCTACGATTTTGGAGTGTTTTCGTCAAATTTGGGAGGTTGGCATACACCAAGACTTCATTTTTACGCGTCATGGCAGTCAAGATGATCATTCAACTAGTGGGCATTCATATGTGTTGTGATCCTACTCTGTGGTTTCGTGACAACTCGCAAGGAATAAGGATTTTAGGCAGCAGGCTCAAAGACAGCACCCAAAGGTTGTCGCGCGCGCCTTGCACATGGTATCAGGTATATGGCGGGTTTGAATTCCACTCTCGACATCCCTGTTCAGCTAACGCAATAGTCTTCGTAGTGTAGCACGATGTTTCGAAGTCACCCGCCTCTTCGAGTCTATTGTCAACGTTGTGAAAGCCGAACACTCTTTCATCGAGCAGAATACACTGGAAAGCATTCACCGGTTTGATTCGAATTGGATAGAAGACGTGTTTATTCAGTTTTTCATTCAGTTTCTCTGTTAAATTGCATGTAATGTATTGCAGGGGATTATAATCTTGGCTGCGAGCCCGACCCCCCAAGTCAAGAATGTGGCTTCAGTTCTCATATTCTTGAGTTCTTCATCTTTCATTTCGTTTTGATAGAGTGCAGACTCCCAAAACTCCGGGAGGGAGCAGCCTTGTCACTA